GTCAAATAAATAAATAAAATCTTTAAAAAAAAAAAAAAAAGACATGTCTCGTCTGATGAAGACACGGGGGACTCCAGCAACCCCCTGCAGCCCCAAGACTGAGGACAAGCAGAAAATGTGAGGGCTAGAGATGAGGGGGAGGAAGAAGAGTGCCCAACCACCAGCAGAGAGGGACAGGGACCCTGTCAGGATCAGGTGTCACGGGAGGAGCTGCAGCCCTGGGCTGGGAGCATCACCGGACCCAACCTTGCTGGGTCCATCCATTCATTCAAACACGTGCCACCCCTGTTCTATGCCCAGGGACCCCAGCAGTGACCAACTTACACTGTGGTGGGAGGAGAAAAATGAGGTCAGGCAAACAAGAAAAAGCAGTGGAAGGGGAGAACTAGAATTCTCTCTCCTGGCAGATACTCTGATCTTGTATGTAGAAAATCACAAAGAAGCCACTAAAAACTATCAGACTACAAGAGTTTGGCAAGGTTTCAGGATACACGAGCAATATACAAAAATCAATTATTTCTGTATCCTAGTGAACATCCACAATCAAATGAAGGAAATAATTCCATTCACAACAGCATCAAAAAGAATAAAATAAGCAGGACTACATTTAACAAATGAAGTACAAAATATATGTTCTGGAAAGCTAGGAAACATTATCGAAAAAAATTAAAGAAGATCTAAGTAAATGGAAAGACATCCCATCCCACAGTCATGTTTCCAAAGATCTAATGCTGGTAGGACAATACTCCCAAATTGATCTAAAAATTCAACACAATCTCGGCTGGCTTCTTTGTAGAAATTTGATAAATTGATTCTAAACCTTGGAAATTTAAGGGTCCAGAATAGTCAAAGCATCTAGAAAAAGTAGAAGAGAACATAAAGGATTCACATGTCTTCGACTACAAAACTTCTACAAAGCTACCATAATCAAGGAAGGATGGTTTCGGCGTAAGGACAGACACATAGATCACTGGAATGGAATTAAGAGTTCAGAAATAAACCTTCACACTTATGGTCGATTGATTTTCAAAAGGATGGGGGAAGGGAGGGGAGAAGGTCTTTTTAACAAAAGTTGCTAGGACAATGAGATATTCACATGCAAAAGAATGAAGGAGGACCCATTTCTCATACAGTATACTGTAACTAACTCAACAGGGATCAAAGACCTAAAGTATAAGAGCTAAAATTACAAAATTCTTAGAAAAAAATACAGGATAACTCTTTGTGCTCTGGGATTAGACAACAGTTTCTCAGGTATGATGCCCAAAGAATAGGTGACAAAGGAAAAAATAGAAATACTGAACTTTAGGGGCGCCTGGGTGGCTCAGTCGTTCAGCGTCTGCCTTCGGCTCAGGTCATGATCCCAGGGTCCTGGGATGGAGTCCCGCATCGGGCTCCCTGCTCGCTGGGAAGCCTGCTTCTCCCTCTCCCCCTCCCCCTGCTTGTGTTCCCTCTTTCGCTGTGTCTCTCTCTGTCAAATAAATAAATAAAAAAAAAAAAAAGGTACAGGACTAAGTAAACACCAGCCTGCTGGGTTCACACAAAACGAGTGAAACTTCAGAGTGGCAGGAAGTCTGTCCAGGGACTGGTGGGCAGCCAGAACCCATCTTCAAGCAAGTAAGGAGGACAGGGGAGGGGGCGTGGCAGACAGCAGAGGCTTTAGTGAGGGGCGGGGGCAGGGCCAGACTGCTCCCCGCCTCTCCTTCGCCCAGAGAGAGGGATGCTTCCAGAGGAGGGCTGAGGCTTTTCTGGCCAGGAAGCCAGCTCCAGGCCGGTCCAGTCTCAGCCCACCTGCCTCTCCAGCATCAGCCCCAGCCTGGGCTAGCCGACCCTGCAGGGACAGAGAGGGGCCTTTGCTTGCCAAGCCCAGCCCAGCCCGACTGCCAACCTCCAAGGGCTTGGGAGGCACCTTCCGTGGCTTCCTACAGGAAGCCAGCTGCTCAGGATCCAGCCCCGAGCAGAGGAGAGCCACCATCAATGCTCAGACCTTTCTCAGCATGGGTGTCAGGCCTGAGCTGGAGCTAACCGGGGGAGAGGCGGTGCCACGTTCCAGCCGGGCTGCTAGGGGCAGGCGCTGACCGCACAGCAGGCAGTGCTCAGAAACCCTTGCGAAGGGCTCAAGGGAAAGGCAGACCAGGGCCAGTGGGGCTGTGCTGGAGGCAAGCATGTGCAAAGTGCAGGCTGCCAGGGCAGCAGGAGAACATTCGTTGGGGAAGGGGGTCTCAATCGGGAGTGTGGATGGGTCTGAGGTCTTGGTTCCCAGGAGAAGGCTGCCAGCGGGTCCCCCGGGACACAGGGAAGGAACAGCTGAAGCACTAAGCAGTCAGAGGACCGTGGTGGCAGGATTCTGGGGGAGGACTGGCTCTCCCAAGGGCAAGGGGGCAGTGGAGCAAGGCCCTGCCAGGGCATGGCTGAGCCAATGCTCCCAGAGTGAGCAGGGACACAGGGCAAGTGGCCCCTCGGCCACAAGCATCCCTGCATGTAGGTGCTGCCGTATGTCCTCGCCGAGGGCCCAGACTGGTCTCCAGCCGAGGCAGGCCTGGCCATCTTTGTCTTGTCCACCTGCTTCATGGACCGGCACGTCCTGCCCCCTAGTGGTTCAGAGGAGAATATTCACAGTGGTGTCCAGGGCCTGGCAGGCCAGGAGGGTCCCGGGATGGATGGAAGGACAATGGAATGCTGCTTTGAGGCAGGAGTGGGGCTGGAGTACACGGAGGAGGCACAGATGAGATGC